TATCAACTAAACATCCAGAAACCACATGGCCTGACAATCCCACGTCTGGGATCAGACCCAGAGAAAATCAGAATTCACAGTGACCCGTGCACCCTTGTTTTCAGGGCAGCTCAACTGACAATGGCCAAGAACTAGAATTGTTGCTGGCTAAAGTCTTGGCTTTCTCTGCCCAGTGAAGCCAAATAAAAAATACAGAGACAGAGTTTGAAAGAGATACAAAGGTGGCTTTTATTCTCAAGCCAGCAGAGAGGGGAACACAATAGGGTCATGCCTCAAGGACTGTGCAACCCCACCCCCCGCCCATGAAGAGGCTAGGGGCTTATATAAGGCAAGGGCTCACAGTCAGGTGTCAGTGATGAGGAACAAAGGGGATAGGATCTAGATTTCTTCCTCGTGCATTTTTCCAAAGACAGTCATAGACTGAAGTCAAAAACCCAGTAACTGACTCTGGCAGTTGGGGTGGCTCTGCTGCCTTCTTTCTGACAGGTAAGTACAAGGGGAAGAGTGTTGTAAGGGTAAACACCAGATAGGGCATGTATTTAGCATAGAGTCCAAGGAAAAAATGTTACTTGTAGCTCCTGCAGAGTTAGGGGGCAGAAAAGCAAACTTAGTCACAGACATTCAGAGTTATGAGCAGTTAAAGTAAAAAAAAAACCAAAACTAGGAATGTTCAGGCCGGCTCACTGTTTTATCTCCTTTGTTCTCAAAAAAGGGAAAGAATAAAAAACTCATTCCTCTTTTTTTTCTTTTGCATGTATTCTCAGTCGCTTCAGTCATGTCCAACAGTTTGTGACCCCATGGACTATAGCCTGCCAGGCTCCTCTGTCCATGGGATTCTCCAGGCAAGAATACTGGAGTGGGTTGCCATGCCCTTCTCCAGGGGATCTTCCCCACTCAGGGACTGAACCCATGTCTCCTGCATTGGCAGGTGGATTCTCTACTGGCTGAGCCGCCAGGGAAGCCCTCCCTGCAAAAAATTCAACAAAGTTATTCATCGACAGGAAAATGGAGTCAGAGTGGTGCACCTCTGCACTGGAATACTACCCAGCCCTGAATCAGAATGGAATAATGCCAGTGACAACAGCGTGGATGGATAGAGCCAATACCATACTAAATAAAGGAAGGCGGAGAGAGAAAGACAAATATCAGAAGGTATCACTGACAGGTATCTTCTTGAAATTAATGCAAATGTAGGCTATTGCACAGTAGAAACAGACTCACAAACTTAGAAAACCAACTTATGATTATTTGTAAAAAAGTTAAGGATGTGGGATAAACAAAGAGTTTGCAAGGAACAAACAGACGTTAATATACCTCAAACAGATAATCAGGAAAAAAACTGTTGAAGAGCAAAGGGCAGCCTACTGGAGACACTGTAATTCTCTCTCTGGGGAAAATGAACCCAAAAAAGAATTGATAAATGTCTGTTTATCACTGAATCCAGCTCCTGTACACCTGAAACAAACACAGTATCGGAAATCAACCCTACTTCAAAATAAAAACATCAATGAATGCACAGAAGAAGAAATTTACAGCAGGATCCTCTAGGACCCATCTCCCAGAGTAATGGAAATAAAAGCAAAAATAAACAAATAGGACCTAATTAAACTTAAAAGCTTTTGCACAACGAAGGAAAATACAAGCAAGGTGAAAAGACAGCCTTCAGAATGGGAGAAAATAATAGCAAATGAAGCAATTGATAAAGAATTAATCTCAAAAATATACAAGCAACTCCTGCAGCTCAATTCCAGAAAAATAAATGACCCAATCAAAAAATGGGCCAAAGATCTAAACAGACATTTCTCCAAAGAAGACATACAGATGGCTAACAAACACATGAAAAGATGCTCAACATCACTCATTATCAGAGAAATGCAAATCAAAACCACAATGAGGTAGCATCTCATGCCGGTCAGAGTGGTTGCCATTAAAAAGTCTACAAACAATAAATGCCGGAGAGGGTGCAGGGAAAAGGGAACCCTCTTACACTGTTGGTGAGAATGCAAACTAGTAGAGCCACTATGGAGAACAGTGTGGAGATTCCTTAAAAAAAACTGGAACTAGAGCCGCCATACAACCCAGCAATCCCACTGCTGGGCATACACACCAAGGAAACCAGAATTGAAAGAGACATGCGTACCCCAATGTTCATCACAGCACTGCTTACAATCGCCAGGATATGGCAGCAACCTAGATGTCCATTGGCAGATGAATGGATAAGAAAGCTCTGGTACATATACACAATAGAATATTACTTAGCTATTAAAAATAATGCATTTGAATCAGTTCTAATGAGGTGGATGAAACTGGAGCCTATTATACAGAGTGAAGTAAGTCAAAAAGAAAAACACCAATACAGTATATTAACACATATATATGGAATTTACAAAGATGGTAATGATAACCCTATATGTGAGACAGCAAAAGAGACACAGATGTAAAGAAGAGACTTTTGGACTCTGTGGGAGAAGGTGAGGGAGGGATGATTTGAGAGACTCACATCAAAGCATGTATATTACCATATGTGAAACAGATCACCAGTCCAGGTTCAATGCATGAAACAGGGTGCTCAGGGCTGGTGTTCTGGGATGACCCTGAGAGATGGGATGGGGAGGGAGATGGGAGGAGTGTTCAGGATGGGGAACACATGTACACCCACGGATGATTCATGTCAAAGAATTGCAAAAACGACTACAATATTGTAAAGTAATTAGCCTCCAATTAAGATAAATTAATTCAGAAAAGAAAAGAAATTTACAAGTGGAGTGTGAAGCAAAAGCAATGCTGACTCCTTGTGGCCATTTTTTTAACAGCAACTCTAAAAGCTGTGTTCAGTTCAGTTCAGTTCAGTCGCTCAGTCCTGTCTGACTCTTTACAACCCCATGGACTGCAGCACTCCAGGCCTCCCGGTCCATCACTGACTCCTAGAGTTTACTCAAACTCATGTCCATTGAGTCAGTGATGCAATCCAACCATCTCATCCTCTGTCACCACCCTTGTCCTCCTGATCTCAATCTTTCCCAGCATCATGTATGTATGTGTGTGTTTGTGCACAGGAGGGGCTGGAGGGCTGGGACCACCTGGGGGAAGGGAGGCACCCACCCGGGATCTCCACGTGGAAGTTGAGTCTCTCTGGGTCAGAATACAGAGCCTGAGGGAGCCCCTGGACTGAGGCTCATGGGGACAGTGACAAGCCCATCACGAGTCCTGAGCCGGTGCTGACCCTGTGCTAACCGCTGCCACTGGAGGAGAACACCTGATGACCAAAGTCTTGTGTCCTGTCCCTGCATTGAGGGGGTAGGGCCATGGGCTGGTCAGAGTGGATGGACACTTTGGTAGCCTGGGAAGTGCTTGGGGGACCCGGTGAGTGTTTCAGGGGGCTGGTGAGTTAGGGGAACCCAGCGAGCCTTTCAGGGGGTTGGCGAGTTTGGGGGACCCAGTGTGTGTTTCAGGGGGCCGGTGAGTATCTGGTGGGCCCAGTGAGCATTTCAGGGGGCTGGCGAGTTTGGGGGACACAGTGAGCATTTCAGGGAGTCGGTAAGTATCTGGGGGACCCAGTGAGCATTTCAGGGAGCTGGTGAGTTTGGGGGCCTGAACAAAGGTCTAGGAGCCTGGTATTCATGAAGCCTGCTGACCACTCAGGGGGCTGGGGGAGCAGGACGACAGGACCAGCTATGTGCTGGGTTTGCTGGCCCTGCATTGCTCCATCCATTCATTCACCTGAGAACTATTTCCTGAGCGCCTCTGTTTCCATCCCCACCCACAGATGTGCGTGAGGTCGCACGGGGCCTCCTCCAGTGTCTCACTGCGGGCCGGCGGGGACAGAACCTGACCTCACCGGCACGCGCCCCACCTGCTCACCTGAGGGGCCTGAGAACTCAGAGGGCGCGGCAGACTCACAGGAGGAAAGTGCCATCAGGGTGTGCAGGGGCACCCGGCTTGCTCCCTGGGGTGCTGTATGAGGCCTCGCGGCTGGGTGGCACTACTACTGAGCACTCCTGAATCTGCACTGGGGAACCAGACAGCTGGGGTTCACAGACAAGGAACAGAGGACAGGTGACCCACACCTACGTTCCTGGGAGATGGGAGCGTGCCTTGCAAGTACATGATTGGTGTCCACAGGCGATGGGACATTATTCCTCCCATCACAGTGAACCCACCACCATCTCAGGCCAGCGCAAATGGGAAGATGAAGCGCGTGTGACACCCTGACCCGGATTCTGATGGAACAGAGGTCCAGGGATGTGGAGACAGGACGGCTCAGGGGTGGGCAGGTGACCTGTGCTAGGTGGAGAGTTGTGGAAAGGACACCCAGGGGGCAAGTGACCTGTATTATGGGGAGGTCTCCTCTGAGATGGAAAGACAGACACACACCCATAGGTGTCCCTAGGATGGTGACACAGGCACACCAAAGGAGGACAAGGCGCACGGACCCCACAAGCGCGACAGCGGCGGGCCCAGAGAGAACACAACATGGCGGTGGGCAGGCCGGACCGAACTACAGCAGTAGCCACGCAAGGGAAGTGAGTTCTCCGCCGAAGGCGGGAAGCGCCGCCCCTCCCCCCGCGGCCGCCGCTCACTTCTCCCCCTCCCTCCCGCGGACGCTCCCGCACACTCACACGCCTCGGCTCAGAAGTCCAGGGAAGAGCAGGAGCCGCCCCCGCGCTCCGGCGGAGTCGGGCAGTGCAGAGGCCTGGGCACGACGGAGGGGAGGGGGAAGCGTGCGTCACGGAGAACGGGGCGCGCGCTAAGCTGGGGTGCAAACAAGATGGCGGCCACACCGTTTACACCGTCTCCCCCCGCTTCCCCTCCCCTTCCCTTGGCGCGTCGGCTCCTGGTGTTTTTAATGCGCAGAAGCTTAGTTGCTTGACGTCTCGCGAGAATTGAGAAGAGGCGACGACTTGGTGAGGCTTGAGCCATCTGACCCCGCCCCCTTTAAAGGATCCAAAGGCACCTGGCCGGGTCCTAGATAGCGTCTTCAGTCTTTGTGGACCTCTGCTATGGTACGCATGCTTTTGAGTTCTAGAATCTAAAGGAATAGATAGTTTTTTGTGGGTGTGTGTTTTTTTTTTTTTAATTTAGGAGGTAACAGAGCTGGAGGATGGTGGGCGGCATGGGGAATGCCAGATTAAGTGCGCCGTTAAAGAAGACAGCTGCCAGTACCTTAAAAGGGGATTTAAAACTGTAAAGATATACTTCAAAAGAAAGAACAGCACTTTCCTAGAATGGTCACCTTGTAACTTCACGTCTATATGCACATTGTTTTTGTCACTTGAATGCAGAATTAAAACTTGTTTAAAAACAACTGGGAACTGAACTGTAACCAGAATTCGTTTTCATACTTCACCGCTTTCATCTCCACAACTACTAAGTCCGAAGGCATTAGCATTATTTCTATTTTACTGGTGATGAAGTTGAAGCGCCAAAATGTTAAGTAACTTAATGAAGGCTCCGCAGCTGGTTAGTGGCGAAACTCAGTTTGAATAGTTCCCAAATCTGTATATAAATACATCAAATATACATTGAGTAGAATCATCCACAATGAAACAATGTGCACTAGGTTGCAAGCACAAATAAGACTGCTTTTGCTGGTGGTTACCTTGAAGTTTACAAATGACTTTTCTGAGATTTGTTTTGCAGAGGTCCTCAACAGTAAAATCAATACACTATTATTATTTCCTTCCTTTGAGTTTATTACCCTGGTGATAAAGTTGTTGAGAATAGTGAAATATAAACCCTTGACTTGAATTCAGGAAAATTGTTCTCAAATCCAGCCTTAATAAATCTCACTTCATGCACTCAAAAAATATTTGATGAATAAATAAAACTTAACTAGTCACAAGACTCTTGAAAAAAAAAAAAGACACACCAAAGGAGCCCTACGTGGCGGGGCACACACATCCACAGGGGCTCCCCATGGTGCGGTGCCTGGGGTTCTGACATACTGTTTTGCTGTGTGTTCTACTTGCATCTCGTTGACTATTCGGATTAGAGAAGAGACTTCATTCTGAAGGGTTATTGTGAAGAGGAAAGGGGACTATTACAGGAGGATGAGTTCTTCAGGGAGAAGGACTATTCTAGAGAGGGGCTGATTACATAGAGGTAGGACTTTATTTGTACAAGGGGCAACATTACTGTAGAGAGCTGACTAATATGATAGAGGGGAGATCCAACAATAAATGGGGCTATGACCATGTAGGGGGATGTCACTGTGGAGAAAGTGAAAGTTGATCAGTCGTGTCTGACTCTAGACAGGCCATGGAATTCTCCAGGCCAGAATACTGGAGTGGGTAACCTTCCCCTTCTCCAGGGGATCTTCCCAACCCAGGGACTGAACCCACGTCTCCCACAATGCAGGCGGATTCTTTTCCAGCTGAGCCACCAGGGAAGCCCTACTGTGGAGAGGGGATTCATAATCAAGGAGGACCCTTACTGTAGTGGGGACTATTACTGTGGAGGGGGGAAAGTTATAATAGGACGACTCTGATACCATGGGGGCTGTTACAGTATGGGAGGGACTATGACAGTACAGAGAACTGTTACAATAAAGGGAACTATTACAGTAGAGGGGGACCATTCTGTGAGGGTGCTATAACAGAAGAGGCAGAACTATTTATGGAGGGAAGAGTCTTACCATAGAGGGGGCTATTACAATAGAGGAAGACTCTCTTTGTTGAGAGAGGACTGCTATAGTATATGTGAGACTATTATAGTAGAGGGTGGTCTATCATTGTAGAGTGGGGACTGTTACTGAAAAGAGGGGGCTACGACAAAGAGAAAGGGCCTATTATAATAGATGAGGATGATTACCTTAGAGGGGACTATTATAATGAATGGGGGCCTACTACTGCAGACAGGAAGTATTACAATTGAAAGGGACTACTGAAATTGAGGAAGACTGTTACTATAGAGGGGGGACTATTATGATAGAGAAGGGACTACTAATATAGAGTAGGGACAGCAGAAGGGGACTATTAGTGTAGAGGGGAAACTATGACAACAGAGGCAGGACTGTTATAGTAGAAGGGGGACTTTGACTGTGGAAGGGGAACAGTGACAACAGAGGGAGATTATTAGATGAGAGACTATTACCACAGAGACAGACTTATTACAATATGGAGTGGACTATGACAGCAGATGGGGACGCTTACTGTAGAGGGAGATTATAGCAACGGAGGACTTTTACTCTAGAAGGGGGATATTAGATGCAGACTATTATAATTTAAGGGGGCTAAAAATAGGAAAAGGAGTACGTCAAGGCTGTATATTGTCACCCTGCTTATTTAACTTATATGCAGAGTACATCATGAGAAACGCCGGGCTGGAAGAAGCACAAGCTGGAATCAAGACTGCCGGAAGAAATATCAATAACCTCAGATATGCAGATGACACCACCCTTATGGCAGAAAGTGAAGAGGAACTAAAAAGCCTCTTGATGAAAGTGAAAGAGGAGAGTGAAAAGTTGGCTTAAAGCTCAACATTCAGAAAACTAAGATCATGGCATCTGGTCCCATTACCTCATGGGAAATAGATGGGGAGACGGTGGAAACAGTGTCAGACTTTATTTTGGGGGGCTCCAAAATCACTGCAGATGGTGATTGCAGCCATGAAATTAAAAGACGCTTACTCCTTGGAAGGAAAGTTATGACCAACCTAGATAGCATATTAAAAAAGCAGAGACATTACTTTGCCAACAAAGGTCTGTCTGGTCAAGGCTATGGTTTTTCCAGTGGTCATGTATGGATGTGAGAGTTGGATTGTGAAGAAAGCTGAGTGCTGAAGAATTGATGCTTTTCAACTGTGGTGTTGGAGAAGACTCTTGAGAGTCCCTTGGACTGCAAGGAGATCCAACCACTCCATCCTGAAGGAGATAAGTCCTGGGTGTTCATTGGAAGGACTGATGCTGAAGCTGAAACTCCAATACTTTGGCCACCTCATGCGAAGAGCTGACTCGTTGGAAAAGACCCTGATGCTGGGAGGGATTAGGGGCAGGAGGAGAAGGGGACAACAGATGATGAGATGGCTGGATGGCATCAGCGACTCAATGGGCATGAGTTTGAGTAAACTCCAGGAGTTTGTGATGGACAGGGAGGCCTGGCGTGCTGTGATTCATGGGGTCGCAAAGAGTCGGTCATGACTGAGCGACTGAACTGAACTGAACTACAATCAAGGAGGACTATTATTGCAGAGAGGGTGCTATGACAGTACTACTGTAGAAGGGGAACTTTGACAATAGAGGGGGCACTATCACTATACAGCCGGACTATGATATTAGAGGGGGGTTATTTCAGTAGGGGAGAGGTTTTTACTGCAGAGGGGGGACTATGACAACAGAAAGTGAAGTATGACAATAGAGACAGGACTATGAGTGTATGGGGTGGAAGACTATGACAATAAAGGAGAACTATTACTCTATTAGTTCTCTAATAGAGAACTGTTACTCCATAGGGGAAATGGTTACTATGACACTAGAGAGGAGCTAATACTGTAGAAGAAGAACTATTACTATGGGGGGGGGGGGGGGGGCTATGACAATAGAAGGGGAGTAATACAAGCAACCCACTCCAATACTCTTGCCTGGAGAACCCCATGGACGGAGGAGCCTGGTGGACTGCGGTCCATGGGATCGCAAAGAGTCGGACACGACTGAGCAACTTCACTTTCTTTCACTTTTCATTATCACAGAGGGGGGACTCTGACAATAGAGGAGCACAGTTACTGAAGAAGTGGAATTTTGAGAAAAGAGGGCTACTACTTTAAACACTATGACATTAGTGTTGGTCGTTCAGTCGTGTCCAACTCTTTTCAACTCCATGAACTGACTGCATGGAGCCCGCCAAGCTCCTCTGTCCATGGGATTCTCCAGGCAAGAATACTGGAGTGGGTTGCCATGCTTTTCTCCAACTATGATATTAGAGGGAGCTATTACTATAGAAGGGGAACTATAACTGTAGAGGGGACAGCATGACAATAGAAGGGGAGTATTACTGTAGAGGGGGGACCATGACAACAGAAGGGGACTATTACTGTAGAGGGGGGATTATGACAACAGAAGGGAACTATTACTATAGAGAGGGGACCTTAAGAATAGATACAAACCCTGTCCGTGGAGAGCAGTAAACACAAAAATAAAGGCCCAGGCGTGTGTTTGCCATGAAAGCAGTCCTGATGGCATGTGGACCACAGGCCCTGACTCAGGAGGAGCTGTGAGGGGAGGCTTCTGCCCAGGCAGGGAAAGTGGCTGCAGTTGGCGCTGGGCAGGCAGAACCAGTGGGTCACAGGCCCATGTTCTGACTGGTCCTGGGAATGACTGGGTCAGCCCTGACTGATGATCTTGGGGAAGGTCTGGTCTGTGTGGCCAGGTCAGGGAAGTGAGGATCTGAGTCTCTATAGGGAGGGGTCTTTGCACAAACTGTTTCCAGGACATGGTGGGTGAGGGAGGGGGTTCCTGGACCCTCAGATCACCTTCGACACCATGAAGAGGGCTCTGTCCCCACTCGCACGTGGAAAGACAAAGCACAGGGGCTCGGGAGTGAGATCAGGCTCTGGGTGGGTGGACAAAAGTCCGCAGCCGCCACTCAGAAGTCATGGTTCACGTCTCTAGGTGATTGTGTTTTAAATCATCTCCTTGCATGATGGGATGGCCACGCTTGGCCCCACGTGGGTAAAGACTCTATAGTGTTTTTACTCATCTGTTCCCGCTCCACCAGGACACCCACCCAGAACAGGAGAGAGGGGACACTCAGACCCTGACTGGAGGCAATCCCAGCTTCTTAGCTGCTCAGGTGGGTGCTTCATCCTGGGAGCCTGTCCAGTCACTTTTACTGCAGCAACACCCACCAGATGGAGAGAGGGGGTGTGACCTAGTGCCTGGGCTCCATCGCCCCTAGGATGGAAGCCCCCATACCTGGAGACCCCACAGGCTCAACTGGGCCCCTCTCAGCCCCAAGAGGAGGGGGCTGGTGCACAGCGTGAGGGTGGGGGACCCTCTGGAGGGGAACGCCAGCTCTAGCCTCAGGGAGAACAGACTTGAGCTGCTGGGGTCTGTCTATTGGTCCCCGTCTCCCTCTCTTGCTCCCCCTCAAACCCTCACTTCACCTCCTGTGTCCCTCTCCCCCCTCGCTCTGCTTCTGTCTGTCTCTCTTCATGTCTCTGTCCATTTCTCTCTGTGTCTTAGTCTCTCTGTCTCTAGAGCTCTTCTCCCCTCTCCACCATCCAATCCTCCTCTCTCTTGAAGACAAGTCCGCTATTTCTCGTTTCTCAGAGTTACGCCTCCGCGCCGCCAGCACTGGGTCTTCTGCACGTCCTGATTTAATTATGCAAAGCCCCATTTCCTCCCCCAGATCTCCCAGGCTCGACCTCCGATGGGCTGGCAGGTGAGCTTTCCCGGTTCCTTCCTGCGCCACCAAGGCAAACGTGGACTGGATATCGGCGCTGAGTTCTCCTCTCTGGGACGTGCCCCTGCAACACCTCTCCATCCCAGGTGAGGCCCTGCAGGCTCAGCTCGGCGGGGATGCAGCTTCGAGACCGTCCAAGTGTGGGAAGCCTCAGTGCTAAACATGCACCCAGGCAGGCACTCTCAGGCACACTGAACACACACACACACACACACACCAAACACACACACCCCCCAAACACACATGCACAGACACTGCACACACATACATACACACACCAGCACCTTCCCTTCTCTGTCCACTTTATCCTATTCAATCCAGAAGGTATGTGAACCTCCGAGAGTCTGCCTTGAGGACACATGCCAGCCACCCTGGGGGGGGGGGGGGTTTGTGCTTTCTCAGCCACTCTGTCCTACTCCTGGGGACCCCTCACCTTTCCACCCACCTTTTCCATCAGAGCTTGTGCTGCACCTTCTGCACTTGAGCCTGGACGGCCCAGAGTTTAAGGTGTCCACCTCTCCCCAAACAACTCAATAAATGGTACTGAACTATCTAATTAAAATGAGAAACCTTTGACTCCAGCCAGTTTGGTTGCAAAAAGTGCTGCAAAGCTCCGCCATGGGCGGGCATCTTGACTTGGGGATGACCAGTGGTGACCAGGCAGGCGGGTACTTCCAGGGTGACACAGCAGTGCTCAGGCCATCACAGGGGCGGCCACCGGACACTGTGGCTTGGGAGGGGAGGGTCCCTGCCGGACAGCACCACCCTGCTCACCTCCTCAAGGTGCAAACGTGCCCCATTCTCCACCAGCACTCCTCTGGCCTCACGCACACCGGGAACTGACCTGGCTCTGTGACCCTGGGCACTGCCCGCTGGGAATGCACATGGACAGTTGGACAAACAGGAAGTGCTGTTTTCTATGGAAGGCAGCTTTCGACTCTTTCTCACCCTCTCGACAGCTGTGGGGTTCTATGCCGGCCACTGCACCACCCCTGGGAAGAGGGTCCCCCACACGGCCCTTCCCTTGAGGGTATGGAGCAGACAGGGAACCGTGGACCCAGTCTCTCAGCCTTTCCGGGTGCTTCCCCGTGGGGAAGGCTGTGGGGGCCACAGCTGCCTCCCACAAGGAGGCAGCTTCTGTGTCTTCAGGCCTCCTCCATCCCCAGAGGGGCCCTTGGCCCCTCTCCTTCCTGTACCCCTTGCATAATAACTATGATGCCTCTCCCCCAAGCCCAGGCACCACTCATCTCTTCTGCCTTTGTAAATTGGCCTGTTCTGGACATCTCTTATAAATGGACACGTAAAATGTGTCCTTCTGTGTCTCTTCTCTCACTGATCATTGTGTGTTCAAGGTCCATCCACGATGTAGGGTGTGTCAGAACGTCACTCCTTTCCATGGTGAGTCATACACCACTGTGTGCATGGACCACATGCTGCTGACCCACCCATCCATCCATCCATCCATCCACCCACACACCCATCCACCCACTCACCTATCCATCCACTCATCCATCCATCTAACCACCATCCCATCCATCCATAAATCCACCTATCCATCATGCATCCATCCATCCACTGACCAATCCATCATCCACCCATCCACCGATCCAACCCACTGGCCCATCCATTGTCCACCCTCCTTCTATCCATCCATCCACCCACCATCCATCCATTCATCCATCCACTTGTCTATCCACCCATCCATTCACTCTTCCGTAACATCATCAAATCAAATTATATTATGAACTTGTAAATCCTCCTTCCCAGCCCTTGACCCTGAGAATAAATAAGAAGAAAAAAGAGAGAGAGAGAGAGAGAGAGAGAGAGAGGGAAATAAAGCTAGTCTAAACCTATGTTCAGAGACGGAAGGGAAAGATTTCTGGATTGTACCCAGGTGACCACTAAAGTGTGAACCTCTCCACACTGTCTCTGAAGCAGATCACAAAATAAATGAAACCACACATGACCCACAACACTGGAGTCATAAAGAGCCTAAAAACACTATGAATAACTTCAAAGTACTTGTAACTAGAGAGGGTCTGTCTGTGCTCAGTTGTGTCCGACTCTTTGCAACAACATGGACTATACCCACCAGGCTCCTCTGTCCATGGGATTCTCCAGGCAAGAATAATGGAGTGTGTTGTCATTCCCTTCCCAGGGGATCTTCCTAACCCAGCGATCACCCCTGCATCTTTTATGTCTCTTGCTTTGGCACACAGGGTCTTTGCCACAAGCACCACCTGGGAAACAACAAACCATAAAATCAAAGTGGTCTTAAGCCTTTCCTGTCTAAAAACAGGATTCCTTAAATAAATTGCTCTTCACTTTCTCACATCTGCAGAGACCCCATTTCAAGATAAGATTCAGTTCCCAGGTCTCAGTGGATATGACTTTCGGGACTCACCCGTGCCCTGCAGCACTATAGCTGTGAGTCCTGAAGGAGGCTTGGGGGCACAGAAGACAGGCTTGGGGGGTGATGTGTTTCCCGCCTTGTTTGCCTGCAGGGAGTCACGACACGATGACATACTGCCTGAACAAGAAGTCACCCATCTCTCACAAGGAGTCAAGGCTGCTGAGCTTCGGGGCAAAGTGCTGCTATGTCACCCTGCCCGTGGTGCTCAAGTGGTCCACCACCCAGGTGAGGATCTGCAGGCACGTCCAGGCCCTGGCCCCAGTTCCAGCTGCTGGTGTCACCCACAGGGGGCAGTGTCCTTATCCCTATTGGGGAAACGGGATTGAGAACAAACCTGCTGTAAAGCAGAATTGTTGTTTAGTCGCTCAGTCATGTCTGACTCATTGCGACCCCATGGATGTAGTCCGCCAGGCTTCTCTCTCCATGGGGTTCTCCAGGCAAGAATACTGCAGTGGGTTGCCATGCCCTCCTCCAGGAGATCTTCCCCACCAAGACAGCCTCCCAGAAAGGTAGGAAAGGACACGGCTTTACTGTGGAACCAGCCCAAAGCTGGAAGTGGGACCTGGGGACTAAGAGCATCACTGTCTGAAGTCACAGAGGCTGGAGAAGCTGGGGGGGGGGGGGGAGGGGAAGGCTGGGTCCCACCCTTTGTGCAGCTGAGCTGACACCAGAGCTCCTTCCTGGTCCCATATAAGCAATAGTTGAGTTCCCATGTCCTCTGAGGTGGGTTTGTGTTTGCACCCCGGCACCGCCTCCAGGGAGACTTTCTTGGTGGCTCAGACAGTAAAGAATCAGCCTGCAATGCAGGGGACCCGGATTCGATCCCTGGGCCAGGAAGATGCCCTGGAGGAGAAAATGGCACCCCACTGTAGTATTCTCACCTGGGAAATCCTATGGACAGAGGAGCCTGGCAGGCTACAGTCCATGGGGTCACAGAGAGTCGAGAGGACTGAAGCACTCACACCCCTCCCCTGTAGTGCTTCTCCTGAGTGGATCGGGGATTTTATGGGGTAGAGAGAAGTCGGGGTGGGAAGCAGTCATTGTGGAGGATGTAGAGGAATCAATGCTGGGGGCCCTGTCTGTGGGGAGGGGGCACCCAACTGACAGTGGTCCTGTCACTGGCACACATTAGCCAGGGTTTGGATGCTGGACTGGGTAAAGAACCCACCTGGACCCAGGTGCCCACAGGAGCAGGGACCCACCTGGAGAGGACAGATGGCCCCTGCCTTCCTATACCGCACTTGAAGGGCACTCACATTCCTTGTTTGTCTGCTCCCAGGCTGGTCCTCCCAAGAGGACAAGAGGCTGTCAAGCACAGCTCTTGCCTTGTGTAATTGCTTCCTCCTGGGAGATCTCCAGTTGCTGGAATCCTCCTCAGGGGATCTGATTGGAAGAGAGCCAGAGCTGGAATGCGGACAAACCTCATTCCTGCTTGCATCAGGTGCCTGCAGCCTGGCCTTAAGAACTCACACCCAGAGGAGGGAGCAAGCAGGAAGGGGTCCACCAGAGCCCAGGAGTCCTACAGGACTGAGGTCCCTCTGTTCTATGTCCCTCCAGGGCAGGGTCCCTCCATCCTGGGGGGCCTCAGTGCCAGGATCTCAAGTGGTATGGCTACCAAGGAGAACTGGGGTGTGTGCGCGGGATGGGGGGCATGGGTGGTGGTCTTTAAGGGGTGTTGAAGGTCAGTGGCTGCAGCAGCACTTAATTTAATCCTAGTAGAGGTGGATGGCATGTGCCTGTATGTAGCTGACAATATTCATATAAGTCTTTGCTTTTTCTTTTAATTTGGATTGGGGGGGCGTGACTTCCTTTCCCATTTTTATATCCTCATTTATTTTTTGTTTTTCCATTATGACTCTGTTTAGAGAACACAGTACCATTTTCTGCTACTAGTTTATGTTAATATTAGTTTTTGCTTTTTCTTTTATTTTGGATAGAGGAAATCTATTAATTTTCTTTCCCTTTTTTTATCCTTATTTTTTTTTTTTTTCGTTATGACTCCTTGTAGAGGACACAGTACATTTTCTGCTACGAATTTATATTAGGGCTTCCCTGGTGGGGCTCACTTGGTAAAGAATCTGCTTGCGATGCAGGAGACATGGGTTCAATTCCTGGGTTGGAAAGATCTCCTGGAAAAGAGAATGGCAACCTACTCCAGTAATCTTGCCTGGATAATTCCATGGACAGAGGAGTCTGGTGGGCTACAGTTGATGGGATTGAAAAAAGTTGGAAACAACTGAGCAACTTTCACTTTTCAGTTTATGTTAGTTATTTTTTGCTTTTTCCTGTCCTATTTGTGTGGTGGACAGATGTTTCTTCCCTTCATTCTCCCTGCTTGATTCCTTCTTGCCTTTTCTAGTACTGTTTGTGGGGGTGGGCACAGACCTCTGTGGGTCTTGTGTGTCCTCATGTCCAAGGGTCCAGCTTGGGTGTTTGGAGCCTGGGCTGGTGAACCCACAGGGCGCTTCCACCCAGGGACTGCCTGAGAGGAGGGTGAGGCTGGACTCTGCAGGAACACCCCCCCAAGACCACAATCTGGACCCGGGCTGTGTGCTCCATGTGGCCAGTGACCCTGGAGACCCTGTTCCCAGAAGCAGGGCCTCAACCCCGGCAGCACCAACACTTTTGATTTCACAGTGGACGATGTGGCCCTCATTGGGCATCCTCAGTGCATGCCCAGCCCCTGAGCGGGGGGCCACCCTCTGTGCCCAGCACAGGTGACCGACTTCTGTGTGCAGGTGCTGAGCATCACGAAGCAGCTGGATGCCGACGTGAGGACCTGCGGATGGCGCACACAGAGGAGGGCACCGAGGGGAACCTGCACTCTGGCCACATGGTGTACACGACGGCCCTGGTGGAGGTGGGGGCGGGGGCAGGGGGTATGGACGGGGGTCCGCCAGCCAGGGACACTCACGTCTGGTCCAGGCAGGACGGGGAGGGCCTCTGAGGGGATGGGCACACGTCCACTCAGACAGACACACGTCCACTCAGATGGACACACGGTCATTCCAGGCAAGAGAGGCTGACCTTTAAGGGGACAACACAGGTCCACTCCCGTTAGAAGACACTGATCTCTAAGGGGATGGACACACCCCTCCAGGCAGGAGAGGGCTGACCTCTGGCATCAGTCACTCAGAATTCCAGACCAACGTGCATTTCTGAACTCACACCTCTACCCCTAGCCTCTGGGGTGTCTCCCAGAATTTGACTAAACCAGGTCCCTGACATGTCTTTTCCTGTGTCCAGTTTTGGGGTGTCCAGTCCATTCTCTTGGCTGCTGGCCAAGTCACTTAAGGTTTCACTCTGGCCTCGGCCCCCAGTGCCCCCACCACAGAACCTAATGACCCTTGGAGGTTCCGGCCTGGGCCTCACTGTGAATGTACCCTGCTGGCTTTGCACACTCCCTGGAGTACAGACTTCACACAGTATTATAAGCACTGCTCTCTGCTGCTGTGCACACACACACACATGCATATCTGTGCACACACAGACCCTGAACACATGCACACATGTGTGTGCACCTGTACCTACAGGAGCGTGTACATACACACACAGAAACACACACACACACAGAAACACACACACACACACCAGAGTAAAGCCACGGCTCCCCACTGCCACTCAGGAGAGGCTGGGTCCCTTGGGAGCAGGCACCATGCTTTCTGTCTTTGTGTGTCAGGACCCCCCAACCCATCTGTAGAGGGGCTGTGCTGGGGGAAGTCCCCACCCACGCCCCTCTGTCTCTCACTACAAGGCCCTTCTCCTCCACCCCCGCCCAGGACATGCTCACGGAGATCTCGGAGTGGCTGGAGAACCACCCCCGGGAGGTGGTCATCCTGGCATGCAGGAACTTCGAGTACATGATGGAGGACCCATGCAAGTACCTGATGGGCTGCATCAAGAACATCTTTGGGGACATGCTGTGTCCCCATGGGGTGATTAGGGGCCACAGGCTCCCCATGCTCTCTGTAGCAGGGGCGCTGGGAACACTAGGCTTCACTGTAATCAGACTATCTGCTGGCTTCATGAGGCTGATTCAGGCACCAGATGATGCTGCTCACAGAACTCGAGTAATCCACCCACCACTGTCTCCACTCAAACACCCCCAAAATCTACCAATCACTGCTCAAGACACCCCAATAACCCACCCATCACCATCTCCACTCAGACACTCCAGTAATCTACCCACCAGGGTCTATTCAGACACGCCAATAATCCACCATGACTGCCTCTTCTCACAGAGAACCCAGTAACCAGCCCATCACTGCTCATAAACACCACAATAATCCACACATCACTGTAGCTTCTCAGACACCCCCAATAACTGACACATTGTGTCACAAAGCAGCCCAGTAACCCCTGTGCACATGTCTCATGGGCACCCAGATGATTCCCACCCAGGAGGTGCTGACTCTGTGCCAGCTGTGGTCACAGGGCCAGCAGGTCATCCTGCGGTACAAGGACGAGGCATCCATGAGTCAGCATGCAGAACTGTGGCCCTGTATCCCCTACTGGTGGGGGAACCAGGTGAAGCACCTAGACCTCGTCCACTACCTGGAGCACATGAAGAGCTGCAGCCACCCAAGTGAGTGCCACCTTCACACTGGGACACCTGATCACATGCATGTCCTAGCACATGCGGCTGGCTTTGGGTTCAAGTGGAGAAATGAAACAGGACGTATTAGGGGACATTATCCTGTTCACCACATGGGCGTGGGCATCCTTGGGGACATCACTCTGTCCACCACAGGGGGTCAGGATGTAGACAGGGCGTGAACATCCGTGCAGACATTACTGTGTCCACCACATAGGGTCAGGATGTGGACATCTTTGGGGTCACTGTCCAGCCCACCTGCCCTCTGTAACAGGAGAAATTCATGAGTCAAGAATCCTGTGAGCCCCTGCTGCCTGAACTTTGGCCTCTGCTGGACATCTGAATCTCTGACCACGGAGGAGGCCAGAGTCTGGGTGGGTGATGGCACAGCTTGGTGACTGTGTGGGCAGGTGACCCCATGGGTTAAGGGTCAGATGGGTGGCTGACTGCGTGGGTGGTTGACCCCATGGTTTACTGGTCACATGAGCAGGAGACTGCATGGGTTAGTGATTGCAGGGGTGGGTGACCATGTGGGTGGGTGACTGTGGGCGGGTGACCAGTTTGAGTTGCTGACTGCCAGGGTGGGTTACCATGTGAGTTGATGACCGCACGGGTGGTAACTGTGTGAGTTGATGACCACGTGAGTGGGTAACAGTGTGATTGGGTAATCATATGGACAGGTGACCGCATGACCTCGCAGGTTAGTGACCCCGTGGGTAGGTGAACATGTGGCTTGGTGGTCGGGTGGGATAGTGACCCTATGGGTGGGTGACCACATGAATTGGTGGCCATGTGGAGGGATCACCACATGGGGTAATGACCCCATGGTCAGGTGACCATGTGAGTCAGTGAGCACATGGGTTGGTTGGCCACATAACTCCGTGGGTTAGTGACCGCACACATGGGTGGCTGACCCCATAGCCTGCACCAGGAACAGCAGCCCCTCTCTTGTCCCAGGCAGGCTGTTCCTGGCCGGTATCAACCTCACAGAGAACCTGGAGTTTATCCTCATCCACCCAGCCTGGTCCCTGGAGAACGTGACTCTGCAGGGGCTCCCCTACCTTTGCGTGTGGGTGAGGGGCCAGTGCCCAGGGTCGGCCGCCGGATGCACCAACATCGTCGCGGGCGGCTTCATCCCGGCTGATGAGTTTGTTGGCGACGTCAATGGGTGGAACCGGAAGCTCCTTGGGGCTGAGGGACAGCGCATGTGTAGAGCTGGGCATCGCGGAGGGCGCTCCTCTTTCGCATCTTGTGACGTCACTGGGCTGAACCGGAAGCTACTTGGGACTGATGGATGGCACGTGGGTGGAGCTGGGTATCACGGAGGCTGTGTCTCAGTCGCGTCCTGTGACGTCACGGTCCTAAACTGGAAGCCACCTGGGTGCTGACAGATGGCGTGCTGAGGAGCTGAGCATCGCGGAGGCTGTTCTCAGCCCTGTCCTGCGGGGCTGATCATTCGTCCACCCATCCACTGAATGTGGGTGACTGCAGAGGTGGGGCCAGGTCGCAGGGTCCATGGTCTCCTCGGTCCTCCGTGTGTCTCTCGGCAAATGCAGGGTGTGAGGTGATGATTAAAGGTGAGTGCATGATTTGTACAATGACAGCCTCAGGGAGACACACCTGGTTCTCAGTTCTGTGGCTTCCCCATGGCTGGGGTGCCCCCTTCCCCTGGGCACTGAGAGAAGCAGACAGTGATTCCCAGCTGGGGAGGGGAGGAAGCACTATGACAGAGTGTCCATAGGAGGGGACTGGGCACTTTGCGATCCCACTGAGAAATCCCTTTTATTAGATAAGGGGCTTCCCTGGTGACTCACCTACGAAGGCCTTCTTATCTCTCCTTACTATTCTTTGGAACTCTGCATTCCTGTGGCTACATCTTTCCGTGTATCCTTTGCCTTTCTCTTCTCTTCTCATCTATTTGTAAGGCCTCCTCAGACAACCACTTTGCCGGTTTGCATTTCTTTTTCTTGTGGATGGTTTTGATCACCACCTCCTGTACAATGTCAGGAACCTCCATCCATAGGTCTTCTGGTGCCCTGTGTGCCAGGCCTAACCCTTGAGTCTGTTTGTCCCTTCCAATGTATACTCACAAGGGATTTGAATAAAGTAAAGAAACAGAGGAAAACAATAGAATGAGAAAGACTAGAGATCTCTTCAAGAAAGAGATGCCAAGGGAACATTTCATGCAAAGACAGGCACAATAAAGGACAGAAATGTTATAGGCCTAACTAAAGCAGAATAGATTAAGAAGAGGTAGCAAGAATACACAGAAGAACTGTAAAAAAAAAAAAAAAATCTTAATAACCTGGATAACCACGATGGTGTGATCACTCACCTAGAGCCAGACATCCTGGAGTGCAAAGTCAAGTGCGTGTTAGGAAGCAGCAGTAGGAACAAAGCTAGTGGAGGTGATTGAGTTCCAGTTGAGCTATTTCAAATCCTAAAAGATGGTGCTGCTAAAGTGCTGTGCTCAAAACACCAGCCAGTTTGGAAAACTTGGCAGTGGCCACAGGACTGGAAAAGGTCGGTTTTCATTTCAATCCCAAAGAAGGGCAGTGCCAAACAATGTTCAAACTACCACAAGGCTGCACTCATTTCACATGCTAGCAAGGTAATGCTCAACATCCTTCAAGCTAGGCTTCAACAGTATGTGACCTGAGAACCTCACAGACCCCACATTCAAACAGTTGATTCTAAATGCACAGTGATACCACAAAGATGGTCAAGGTAAAGACACACAATGATTTGATTTATGTCTAAATCAGTGAAACAAAATATTCACTGCAAGGTACAAACTTTTTTAGCTTGAAAAATCTTATATTTGAATATCCTGCTGAAATTGAAAAATATGTTTTAAAGTGAAATTCATTCTTAATTGTCAGTTATTTTGAGACTATGGAAAAAGAAAATAAAATTATGCTCATTGGGGCTGCTTCTGTTCAGTTCAGTCGCTCAGTCATGTACAGCTCTTTTCACTGGGGGCTGCTTAAACTTTCACAGATGTTTTTTCTTAAAATTTCCCTTACAGTTTTACAGTATTAACTAGATATAAAATGATCAATAGATTTTATACTATGTATGTTTTCTTGACATTTTTATTTCCTTTAATTTATGAATGTAACTAGAATGTTGTTATGTTGAGTGAGTATTAAAAATTACTCCTTTCTCTTGTGTGAAACACAGTTTACACTACCGTTGGGAGACATTTTATTGCCTAAAACCTTTTATAATTCAACTCTACTATCTAGGTTTTTTGTTTGTTTTGCTTTGTTTAGGCTGAGAATTTTTTCATCTATTTCTTATATCTTCAGAGTTTCTGTTAGGCATATGTGTCTGCTGTTGTTTACTTGCACAATCATGTCCAACTCTTTGCCACCCCAAGCCCACCAGTCTCCTCTGTTCACAGGGAATCTCCAGGCAAGAATACTGGAGTGGGTTGCCATGCTCTCCTGCAAGGGATCTTCCTGACCCAGAGATGGAATTCGCATCTGCTACAGCTCTTGCATTGCAGGTGGATTCTTTACTGCTGAGCGAAAATAGATCTTGTATACATGAAACCCACTTTATTTATGAAGATTCATAATGAGTGAAAAGCAAAGATGGAGAAACCCAAACAAGCATTTATCTTTTACCAATTAATAATAAGAAAAAAGCCCTTCATTTCAATTTGCCTTCGTTTATTTTTTCAATTAATTTTTCATTGAAGGATAATTGCTTTCCAGAATTTTGTTGTTTTCTGTCAAACTTCAACATAACAGTCTTTCTTAACTCAGTTTCTCTTCAATATCATCTTATTCTGTGTAAATAACTTCTTTTAACATTTCTGACAGACAAGGTATCTGCTAAGAATGAATTCCCCAATGTTTTGTTCATATGAGAATATCTCCTTCTCCTTTGTTTTTGAAGGATAATATTCTTGGACATAGAACTTAATTTCAGTAGTTTTTTTTAAAAAAAAAAAACGGCATTTTTATTTATTGGCATGTTGTACCTGTACCATTTATTTACCAGTTAAGCTGTATAATTCACTGATTTGTAACTTATTCATAGGTTGAATAACCATAATCACTGCCTCATTCTAGAATATTTCCATCACTACAATGAGAAACACTCTCCAGTTGGCAGACACTTTCCATTTACCCTTTCATCTGGGCCCTTGCATTCACTCCTCTGTTTTCAGCCTTTAGAGAATTACCTAATCTGAGACATAAGCAATCACATGAACAGAATAATGCAATGCACAGCCTTTTGCTCCTGGCTTCTTTTAATTAACATAATCATTTCAGAGCTCTAGCATGTTATAGCTTATATAAGAACTCCATTGATTTGATGGCCAAATAATTTTGCATTGCATGTTTTATTTATTTGATTACCAGTTGATGGACTTTGAGTTATTTCAACTTTTTTTCCTTTTTTTAGTTTATTTCTTGTTAAACTTTATTTATTTTTAATTTAACAATTTAAAAATTTTAAATTTAATGGCTTTCTCTGCATCCATTTAGGTTATCATGTGATTTTTAGCTTTCCTTTGGTTAATATGGTCTGTCACATTGATTGATTTGCAAATATTGAAGCATCCTTACATCCGTCGAACAAACCCAACTTGATCATGGTTTTTGATGTGTTGTTGAATTCTGTTTGCTAAAATTTTGCTGAGGAGTTTTTGCATCTATGTTCATCAGTGATGTTGGCCTGTAGCTTTCTTATTTGGTCTTGTCTTTGTATGGTTTTGGTATCAGGTGATGGTAGCCTCATAAGTGTTCCTTCTTCTGCAAATTTTTGGAAGAGTTTTAGAAGGATAGGCATTTGCTCATCTAGAATTCACCTGTGAAGCCATCTGGTCCTGGGCTTTTGTCTTTTGGGAATTTTTTGATCACAGCTTCGATTTGGAGCTTGTAATTGGGTGGTTCCTAATTTCTATTTCTTCCTGCTTCAGTCTTGGAAGATTGAGCTATTCTAAGCATCTGTCCATTTCTCCCAGGTTATCCATTTTGTTGCCATAGAGTTGTTCATAATAGCCTCTTATAATCCTTTGTATTTCTGCATTTTCTTTTGTAACCTCTCCTTTTTCATTTCTAAGTTTGTTGATTTGATTCTTCTTTTCTTCTTGATGAGTCTGGCTAAAGGTTTGTCAGTTTTGTTTATCTTCTCAAGAAACCAGCTTTTAGTTTTATTAATCTTT